GTCGAGCGCTGAGTCTCCACGTCGTCAGCGTAGGAAGAGTCACAGTGACCGGTCAACACAACTGGTTCTGTCCCTCCAAGCACAAGCCCCATGCCTGATGTAGTCGCCAAGTTATTCGCCACCCTCACAGCAGCCGTTCATTGAACAGGACGGTGTCTCCCACTCGTAACAAGACGAGAGAGGACGCTGAGGGGAAAGGCGAGGTCCGGTCGAGTACAAGTCATCGGGTACATGAGGCAGCCCACAAGCTCTGCATAGGGAACACTGGACTCAAAGGGCTCGTCGGGAAAAGGGCCAGTGGGTCTGTGGTCAACAGCAAGAGGAGTGGGCTGTGTGGTGGAGAACTGAAACCCGAACCGCCGAGGGACCTGCTCCACCATGTGTGACTGCGTCAGAGTGATGGTGCGAGCGGCTCTATCCCTGGTGATCTGCAGGCCAAGGTAGCGCTGCAATTCACCAAGGTCAGTGCACGTGTCTCTCTTCTGTAGTTCGGACTTCACCTCAGCCAGAGCTGCCCTGTCTGCTGTAGCAAAAACCAAATCGTTGACGTAGACAAGTATAAAGAAAGGAGTGGAGCCAGCGGGAACCAACAGCGACGGGCCAGTAGAAGAAGGACAAAACCCAGGGTCACGAAACGTGGGGCAAAGAGTGTCGTGCCACTCACGAGGTGATTGGCGGAGACCGTAGACTGGTCGCCTCAGGCTCCACTGGGTCCCAGGTCGGAAAGTGTCAGTGAAGCCAGGAGGACGTCGCAGCCAGATCTCCTCGTGCAGACTGCCCTGTAGAAACGCAGTGGAGAAGTCGAGGCAGTGCAGCTCGTAGTCTCGCTGAGCTGCTACGTGAAGTAACACCCAAAGAGTAGCCATCTTCGGGGTCGGGGCGAAGGTCTGGAAGAAGTCAACCCCCTCGCGCTGACTGAAGCCCCTAGGCACGTAGCGCGCCTTGAACACAGGCGGTGATCCAGGCGACCGCTTCACCTTGAAGAGCCACATGCCATTGACTATGTTCGCACTGGGAGGGGGAACTGCGTCGACGTAAGTGCCTGTGGATCTCCAAGAAACCATCTCTGAGTCCATGGCCGCTTTCCACTGAGAGGCCCACTGCCTCACGGTGTGCGAGGAGTCGGTATGTCAAGGGCATGGCACAGAGAGAGGGAGAAGCGGTTGCCAAGAACTCCATCTCGAATTGCTTGTCCTCTAGGACATCACAGCCAAGGGAAAACTCACCCCCGGCGGACAGAGGACGGGCAGGCGGAGCAGCCACTACACGCGTGGCGAAGTCAAGGCGGCGGGTGGAAGCAAAGTCAGCGACAGCGGCAATAAGAGCCGAGACAGAGGACGGAGAGGCACGAGGGTCGGTGACAAGAGAGGCGAGAACACGTGAGACAACATGACGAGCATCACGGTAATAGTCAGTGATAGGGTGAGAGGAGACAGTGAGAGACGACGCATGAGGCGGCTGGAGAACAGAGACAAGCGGAGCACGACGAGGACTAGAACGAAACAAGACAGTGTGGAGGTCGTCAAAAGGAGACGAAGGACGAGCACGCGGAGGACAACGAGCGGTGCAATCGTGCGAGAGAACATGAGGAGACGACTTTGACTGAGGAGGAGAGAAAACAGCCGGGGCCGAGTTCGGAGGAGGAAACGTAGGACCGTACGTGGTAGGAGGCTAGGAATGGACAGGAGGAGCGGAGGGAAGACCAAGGGCCCAAAGGCAATTCACTTGTGGAAACAACTGCTGCAAAAGTGGCGGTTGCGGTGACTGCTGCTGCTGATGCTGGTGCTGCAGCTGCAGCTGCTGTTGTTGCTCCTGCTGCTGCAGCTGCGGCTGCTGCTCCTGCTGGTCCAACTGCCGTAGCTCCTGCTTCTCCTGCTCTAACCGCTCCTGCTCCTCACGCTCAACCCGACGAAGAGCCTGGAGACGCGTGTCGTAGCGGTGGGGAGGCGCAGTGGGCGCCGAAGAAGTCGTGCCTCCAGCACCAGTCTCCTCAGTACTAGCACCTCCAGTGCCAGCGCCTCCGGCACCTCCAGCTCCAGCACCCCCAGAATTAGCACCTCCAGTGCCAGCACCTCCATCTCCAGCACCCCCAGAACTAGCACCTCCAGTGCCAGCACCTCCAGCTCCAGCACCCCCAGAACTTTCACCTCTAGTGTTAGCACCTCCAGCTCCAGCACCCCTCGAACGAGCAACCCCAGACCGGGTACCTCCAGTGGCAGCACCTCCAGCTCCAACACCACCTGAGTCTACAGTAACCTGTCGCTGCTGAGGGGACTGCGAGGGGGATTGCGGGGAGGGAGACACTACCTGACGCGCGACCGAGGGTAGAGGGGTAGCGTGAGACACACCTGACGGGGCAGGACCAGGGGGGGCCGGGGGTACCGGAGGAGCGGGAGCAGGAGGAGGAGAGGGGGCGAGGAAAAGAGGAGGAGGGGGGACCGGGAGACCTCGACAGGGGTACCGGGTGTAGTAGGACACTGACTCGTCAAACCGGACGTCACGGGAGTCGAAGAAACGGTGGAGGGGCGGGTGGTAAAACGGAAAGTCAGGAGAGTCCACCGGGAAACCAAGGAAGACACAGAGGATGGCGCGAGCCGAGAGCTTATCCGCAGAGGTGTCGCGGACAAGCGCAAGGCAGCCCCAGATGTGAAACTGCGACGCAACACCAGGTGACCCGATCCAAAGACTGGTCGGTGAATCCCCTGATCGTGAGACACGAGGCCCGAGGTTCAGGTGGTGGGCGGCGTAGCGAACCGCGTACGGCCACAGAAAATGAGGCGCACGGGCATGGATCATGGAGGTGTGAACGATCTCCATGACGAAGCCAATGCGACGCTCAGTAAACCCCATTCTGCTGTGGGGACCCCATACTGTGTGATGCCCTGCTCGCCGCAGAACCCGGCAAGTACGTCGGAGCGGAACTCACCCCCACGGTCGAAGTGGAGACAACGGACACGACTACCACGAGTGCCCTCAGTGGCCAGAATCCACCGGATCAGCATAGAAGTCCCCTCGGACTTCTTCACGAGAGGAAACATCGTGGTGTACCTGGAGAAGTCGTCAACGACCACGAGGAAGTAGCGCTCCCGCTCGGGCCCAAGACAAGGGGCAGGGCCCCAGACGTCCACGTGGAGTGTCTGGAAGGGAGCTGTGGCCTGGCGAAAGGAGGAGGAGTGAGGAGTGGCGCGCAGCCGATGCAAGGAGAGCACGGCGGCGCAAGCGAACGGGGGAGCGACTCAAAGACCCGCCGGAGACCTGAGACGAGACGCTGGCTGACCATACTAAGGAGGCGTGGGAGGGACGGGTGACCGAGACGGTGGTGCCACAAGACTGTCGGGTGAGAGAGTGATCGACAAGAGCAAGACGCAGCAACCAGACCGGACACAGCAACCGGACTGGACACAGAAACCTGAGGGGACGCAGTAACATGACTGGACTCTGCTACCTGGGGAGACGCAATGTGCAGAACGAAGAGACCTGAGTGGGGCTCCCCGGTGAACGTGGAAAGAAGTGCCCCGGTGGAAGCGTTCGTACAGATCGCCGTCCTCCCGTGCGCAGGAAAAGTGACTGTGATCCCACGGTCCTGAAGGTATCCAACACCCACCAAGTTCCGAGAGAATGAGGGGATGTAGAGACCAGTGAGGAAACCAGAAGGGACAGCCGGGCACGGGAGAGTGGTCAAGCTGCGAGCGACTGCTGGTCCTGAAGTAGGATCAGCCAGGGCAACTGGGACTGGAGCCGAAAGAGGTGTGACAGTGGTGTGGTCGCGGAAGAAGCACTGAGACGCGCCTGAGTCAAGCGTGAAGGACAGCAACGCGACAGCACTCGTCACGGCCGGACTAGTGACTACACAAGCACCTACACTAAAAGCACAAGTACCTACACTAGCGACAGGCAAAGGTCCTAAGCTAGGTACACGCAAGCTAAGAGATTCATACATGACAGAATAAGCAGCATCCATAGACATATCAAACACAGGGTAACCACTACGAGACAGACTGGGCCAGATCGGTGGCCTCGACTCAGACCCAAAACGCTTATGGTAGAGGTCGTCGAGGCGACTATAGCAGCGTTGTGCAGAGTGGTCAGGACGCCAGCAGGTAGTGCCAGCACCAGGGCCAGTCAGGATCCGGTACTGGCAGGGGCCGACGTCGCGGCCACTGCGACGAGTCCCCCAGCTGGCTGGGCCGCTACTGCAGCCAACGCTACCCGAACCACCAGCCCCCCACTGCTGCTGAGGGCGCCGCCGCTGCTGAGGGCGCCACTGCCGCTGAGGTTCCCACTGCTGAAACTGCCGCTGCTGCTGTCCCTGCTGCTGAAGAACCCTAGTGGACGCCATGGTGAAGGCTAGCTGGGTGTAGGAGCGGCAGGCCAGGAGTAGCTGGAGCTAAAAACGGCCGGAGCTAGGAGCGACTGGAGCCAGGAGCAACTGGAGCGAGGAGCGACTGGAGCTAGGAGCGACTGGAGCTATGAGCGATGGAGCTAGGAGTGGCTGCAACTAGACACAGCAAGGGCTGGTAACAGCTGGAGTTTGGAGCAGCCGGAGCTAGGAGCAACCGGAGCTAGGAGCGACTAGAACGAGGAACGGCTGGAGTGAGACACGGCCGGAGATAGAAACGTCAGGCTAGAAACTACTGGCTCGCGGAGCGGCTGGAGCGAGGTATGGCTGGAGAGGGTAACGACTGGAGCGAAAAGCGGCTGGAGTAAGACAAGTAGCTACTGACTAAGAAACAGCAGCCTAGGAACGGTCGGGTAGGCAAGGCGGGCTAGGAACGCCAGGCAGGCCACAAAATTGAAGCTACGTCAGGAAAAATAACCGCGCCTGCCAGCCGCTGTAAGAGGTGCCAGTGGCCGTAGTCGAGCACAAGACGGTGGGCACGGGTGGGTCACATGCAGTGCTACTGGTGGCTAGGAGCGTGACTGGCGGCCTGCGGCTGGTGGATGCAAGGGCGGAGCAAACTGCAAGGCGTATTGAGAGCGGCTATGGGCGACAGGCAAAAATGGGCGGGATAAGGTGGTGGTGAGCGGCAAGGAGGAGGTGGTGGGCGGCTCGGAGGAGGTGTGGGCGGCTAGGAGGAGGTGTGGGCGGCTAGGAGGAGGTGTGGGCGGCTAGGAGGAGGTGTGGGCGGCTAGGAGGAGGTGTGGGTGGCTAGGAGGAGGTGTGGGTGGCTAGGAGGAGATGTGCGCGGCTAGGAGGAGGTGTGGGCGGCTAGGAGGAGGTGTGGGTGGCTAGGAGGAGGTGTGGGTGGCTAGGAGGAGGTGTGGGCGGCTAGGAGAAGGTGTGGGCGGCTAGGAGGAGGTGTGGGCGGCTAGGAGGGTACGTGAAGCGCGTTTCTGGCTGGGGCGCGCATGTCTGGCTAGGGGCGCGCGTTGCTGGCTCGGGTGCGCGTTCCTGGGCAGAGGCGCGCGCTGCTATGCCAAGGCGTGCTCTGCTCTGCTGGATGGCGCGCGCTGCTCTGCTAGGGCGCGCGCTGCCCTGCACGTTGGTGCATGCTGCGCTGCAGGGGCGCGCGCTGCTCTGCTGGGTGGCGCTCGCTGCTCTGCAGGATGGCGCGCACTGTGCGTTTCTGTGCTGGGTGGCGCGCGCTACTCTGCTGGGGCGCGCGCTGCTCTGCTGGGTGGCGCGCGCTGTTCTGCAGGGGCGCGCGCTTCTCTGCTGGGTGGCGCGCGCTACTCCGCTGGGGGTTTACGCGCGCTGCTTTGCAGGGTGGCGCGCGCTGTTCTGCAGAGGCGCGCGCTGGTCTGCAGGGGCGCGTGCTATTCTTCAGGGTGGGGCACGCTGCTTGGCTGGATGGCGTGCGCGACTTAAGGAAGCTTACTACGAAGCGACGGAGCAACTACAGAGCGACTATGGGGCGACGTAGCGGCCCTAGGCTAGGCTAGGTTAGGAGCAAACCTGCTCTGATACCATCTCAGAAGTAAAAGCAACGGAATGTCTGAACTAGAAAATGGATGGGGTAAAAATGTGCAAACCTAAGAGCTGTACCTCCTAGAAGGCACCTCACTACAGCCTAACATTGTTATTACACTTTGACACCTTGACCCGTTAGTGTAATCCTCGAAATCACACTGACTTTTTTCCCTGGAAAAAAATAAAAAGCAATTCCCCTGCGGGGCCTTCGGTATGGGGGTGGGTGGGGGGTGGGGAGTTGTGTTAGAATCAGGACCTTCGATAGGATATATATGCTAGAGTTGGTAGCGGAAGTCTTTTGTAGTAGTGGGAACCTTGCTCTTAGTGAATATAATTGACAAGATTGATTAAAATAAGAACATTACACACAATATATAGATCCTAACTAACCATGTACTCTAAGGGGTACATTCCCTTATTTAACTGTAATACAGGCATCGCTACAGTGCTACTGACTATTGCGATCCTTCAGTTACCGTGTTGCTGCTTGTTGAGAAGAAACAAGAGTGGATGAACTATGAATGAAGTGGGTACAAGTACTAACCCTAATTGGGTTGTACCCCCTATGGGATACCCCACTACAGCCTACACAAAAGTATAAGCTATAACGTTCTGACACACCCCCATAGGCAAAGTGGGGGAGAACAAGGGGTCACAAGACCAGTCAAGCAAAGCAAAGCAAGGCAAGCTCAGGGTGGATCACAACGTCACCACACATTCTGAGCACAAGTTCAAGGCCAGAAGGCCAGTTCACATGCAGGAGTACATATATATATAGATAAGGCTAGACAAGCAAGAGCAGGTATATATATATGTAACAGTACAAGCAAGGTCAAGGGGTGAGCAAGTGAGGCAAGACAGGGACAAGACCCAGCTGAGTGCAGAAGCGCTGATGATCACAAGGCGGAAGTGCCTTGGTGAAGACATCAGCAGTGTTGGCCTCAGAGGCCACGTACGCAAGCCGCAACTGACCACGCTGCTGTAGCTCACGAGCAAGGAAGTAGCAAAGAGCAATGTGCTTAGTTCTGTGCTCCAGTCTCTGCTCTCGACACAAGGCCAGCATGGCCTTGTTGTCTACGTACAGGACTGGAGGAGAACGAGGCGGCTCTCCAAGGTCGGTCAGCAGGTAGGCGAGCCAGCGAAGCTCCTGGGCAGCCATGGCCCCAGCGTAGATCTCAGCCTCACAACTGGAGCCGAGAACAGAAGACGAGCGAGTAGCCCGCCACGAAACAGAGCCGGAACCGAGGCTGAAAGTGTAACCCTGTGACGACCGCTGCGTAGCCTGGTCGTCAGCCCAAGAAGCGTCCGCGTGCCCAGTGAGGACCACTGGACTCCGCCCTCCAAGCACTAGCCCCATGCCCAACGTACTGCACAAGTAGCGCAACACCCTCTTCGCAGCAGCCATGTGCTCTGGTCGGTGTCTCCCAGGAGCAACATAGCGTGCAAGAATGCTAAGAGGGTATGCAAGGTCAGGTCGTGTGCAGGTCATCAGGTACATGAGGCAGCCAACAAGCTCTGGATACGGGCCACTCGACTCTACGGACTCATCCGAAGGCAGAGCTGAGAGTGAGTGGCGAGTAGGCAGAGGAGTGGCCTGAGGCGAGGAGTGCGTGAAGCCGAAGCGCTGAAGGACCTGCTGCACCATGTGTGACTGAGTCAGGGTAATGGTGCGGCGTGCTCTGTCCCGGGTGATCTGCAAGCCAAGGTAGCTGCGCAGTTCACCCAGGTCTGTGCACGTGTGTCTCTTCTGCAGCTCGGACTTCACGTGGGCGAGTCCAGTAGTGTCAGCTGTGGCAAAGACTAAGTCGTCGACGTACACGAGGATGTAGAACGGCGGCAGAGAGGTGTCGGTGCGCAGAAACAGCGACGTGTCGGCAGTAGAAGGAGCAAACCCAAGAGCCGCAAGCGTAGTCCTCAGTGTGTCGTGCCACTCACGTGGCGCCTGGCGGAGACCGTAGACTGGACGCCGGAGACTCCACTGGGTACCAGGAGGGAAAGACCCAGTGAAGCCAGGTGGGCGGCGCAGCCAGATCTCCTCGTGCAGGCTGCCCTGCAAGAAAGCAGTGCTGAAGTCGAGAGAGTGCAGCTCGTAGTCACGGTGAGCAGCAACGTGTAGCAGTACCCGAAGAGTGGTCATCTTTGGGGTGGGGGAGAAGGTCTGAAAGTAGTCAACTCCCTGCCGCTGACTGAAGCCACGAGCCACGTAACGAGCCTTGAAGACAGGCGGAGAACCCGGTGGCCGCTTCACCCTGAAGATCCACATGCCACTGACGATGTTCGCCCCAGAAGGGGGGACAGCGTCAACGTAGGTGCCTGTGGACTTCCAGGAAGCCATCTCTGCATCCATAGCTGCCTGCCACTGAGAGGAGTAGGGACCCTCTATCGCCTCCGCGTAAGAGCGCGGAGTCGGGATGTCAAGTGCATCCGGGTCTCCCTCAGGGGTAAGCAGTACGGACACGAGATGAGGTGAAGCAGCTGCCAGACACTGGAACTCCTCCTGCCTGTCCTCAAGGACGTCCGTGCCAAGGGCACACTCACCCCCGACGGACGGAGGACAGACAGACTCAGACTCAGCAACAAGACTAGCAGCGTAGTCTAGGCGACAGTGAGCAGCAAAGTCGACGAGCTCAGCAACTAGGGCAGACGCAGCAGTAGACTCGAAAGAAGGGTCAGTGACGACAGTAGCAAGGAAACGCGTGACAGTAGGACTGGCAGCACGAAGAGAGTCCGACTCCGGGTCGGGAAGAGCAGGAAGGGAGGACTCAGGAGGAGAAGGCAAAGGGGCACGCAGAGGAGCAGTGGACGGACGCAGAGACATCCGGTGCGTGCCAGGGACAGGAGGAGGACGCGGACGCGAACCACGACCACTAGCGCGAGCAGTACGGACAGGCGACGCAGGGCGAGACGCAGGCTCACGACGCTCAGTAAGACCTCCAGTAGGACCAGTGTAGGGAGAAGGAGCAGGCAAAGGGGAGGTAGGCTGTAGCTGTGACTGCGACGGGACAGGCTGTGGACCCTCCAAGGGAGGAGGAGGACCAGCAGAAGGCGGAAGACCAAGAACCTGCTGCAGGAGTGGAACGAAGTACGGTCGAGGCCGCGTAGCGACGCCAGAAACAGCAGGGACAGCACCAGTACCCCCAGTAGGAGCACCCGCTCCAGCAGCACCTCCAGCAGCTCCACCAGTGGTAGTCGCAGCGCCAACACCCTCAGCAGCACCAGCTCCAGTCGAACCTGCAGGCCCAGCAGCTCCAGTACTCCCAGTACGAGCACCTCCGGGACCCGCAACAGCAGCACCCTCAGTAGCCGAAGAACCTCCAGCACCAGCAGCACGGCTCCAGCGCCGGGCAAACCACTCGCGCAGCTCGTGTGGAGAGAGTGGCTCCCGACGAGACGAAGCACGCGGAGAACCTCCAGGCGGAGGACCTCCAGGCTCAGCACCCCCAGACCCAGCACCCCCAGGCGTAGCACCCCCACACTCAGCACCCCCAGGCTCAGCACCCCCAGGCTCAGCACCCCCAGGCGTAGCACCCCCAGACTCAGCACCCCCAGGCTCAGCACCTCCAGGCTCAGCACCCCCAGGCTTAGCACCCCCAGTCTCAGCACCCCTAGGCTCAGCACCCTCAGCAGCACCAGAGTCACCAGTGACCTCGACAGGCTCGACTGCGTCTACCTGGGACACACCTGAAGGGGCAGGACCCTGAGGGGGGAGGGGGTCTACCGGGGGGGGACCTGGTACAAGGAAGAGCGGGGGCGGGGGGAGGGACGGAGTGCGGTAGGGGAAGAGGCGGTAGTAGGGGACCGACTCGTCGAACGTGACGTCCTGGGAGGACAGAACACGGCGAGAGGTGGGGTGGTAGAACTGCCACCCAGGCGCGTCGGGGGGGAACCCCAGGAAGACGCAAGGAGCAGCACGAGGGGACAGCTTGTCCGCAGACAAGTCGCGGACAAACGCCCGAGATCCCCAGACCCGGAACGCCGACGCATCGCCAACCTTCCCCGTCCACAGCAAGGCTGGGGAGGTCTCCGGCGTGGAGACCCTAGGGTGAAGGTTGATCTGATGCGCCGCGTACCTCACCGCAAACGGCCACAGAAAATGGGGGGCAGCCGCATGCATCATAGACGTACGAGCGACGTCCATGACCATGCCAATGCGGCGCTCAGCAATCCCATTTTGCTGCGGAGAGTCCGGAAGCGTGAAGGTCTGACGGATGCCTCGTGCACGACAGTAGGCTCGCAGAAGGCCAGAGGAGAACTCCCCGCCTCTGTCCGAGTGCAGACGCAGAACAGGAAAGTCAGAGCCAAAGCTCTGCCTGAGCTGGAGACGAGCTGCGCGGATCCAGTCGATCAGCACCTCAGTGACATCACCCTTGCTGCGCAAGGGGAAGACTGCGGTGTAACGCGAGTAGTCGTCAACAACGAGTAGGAAGTAGCGCTCGTGACCCTGCCCACGGACGCGGGCTGGGCCCCACACGTCCATGTGAAGCGTCTGCAACAGGGCCTCTGTCGGAGGAAACTGGGAGGAGTGAGGGGCAGCACGCTGGCGCCCCTCGACACAGGGGACACAGGTAGGGCCAGGGCCCTGAGGAAGGGGAGGGAGGGACCGGGGGAGACCAGACACTAGAAGACGGGAGGCCATGCCTCTGAGCCGAAGCAGAGAGGGGTGACCAAGACGGTGATGCCAGAGGAGAGTCTCGTGAGACAGGAGACGACACGAACAGGGGGCAGACTCAAGACCAGACCTGGACGCTCCAGCAAACACCCGACCCGACGAAGCGACTCTACCAGACTCAGTAACGGGAGGAGACGCAGTGGTCAGTGTGTACAGGCTCGACCCCGGCTGACGGGTAAACGTAGCCAGGTGTCGGCCTGTGCTTGCCTCTGTACAGTGCGTCACCCGCTGACGCGCAGGAGTGAACTGGTGTACACCCGCATCCTGGAGGTCAGCACCACTCA